CTCTCAGCGCCCACGTCCACTCCGCCTCCGCCCCCACCCCCCGCTCCGCCTTCTCCTGCTGAGCGTCGCCGCGTCGCAGGCACCTACGCCCGCACGCCTCCTTCGACCTCCGAACCTGGAGGCCTCCTATATGGGGTCCGAGCAGCTGGGGTCGGAGGATCGCGCCAGATCGCCGACGAATCACCGATGCATCGGCCATGCACTGGCGGCGTCGGCGACGCATGGGCGACGTCGGCGCGGAGCAAAGTGGGCACCACATCGAGCCGCATCGCCGATGCATCGGCGATGCGGCACGATCCTCCGACCCCATCTGCTCCGACCCCATCTGGGAGGCCTAGGGTTATGTCGGGCGTGTCCCCCTACAGGGGGATTTTCTACGAAAAATAAAAAATACTCCAAAATAGTCCCAAAATAGTCCCAAAATAGTCCGGGGATTTGTTTTTGGGATATTTTTTGACACTTTTCGTGCATTTTGGAGGTATTTTTTACTCTTCGTCGAAAATCCCCATGCAGGGGGACACGCCCGAATTAAGCCTAGGGGACCTCGGTCTCCTCGCAGAGCGCTGCCTCGGGCACCGCGCCACGGCCAGTAGGAGGGGCAGCAGAGGCTCCGCCCGCGCACTCGTGCCCCCCTTCTCGACCTTCTTCCTTCCTCGCCCCCTCTACTCCTTCCTGCGTCATCCTTCCTCCGTCCTCATTCCTCCTTCCTCGTTCCTCCTTCTTGCTTCCTCCCCGCTCCCCCCGCGTCTACACGCAAGAATGACTCTAGGCAAGAGTGACATTCCGAGCGCGGAGGAAAATGGGGCGCAAGGTGGCCAAACCCTGCCGCATCGCGCTCAACGATCGGGGGACCATGGTGAACCCACACCAAAAGTCACTCCGACGAAGGGTCACCCGTACGTGTAGTCGACCCCCTCTCAGTCCCAGATCACCGCGGGCTAGGGCGGGACACACCGCCGCTGCGAAAGCGTTGGCCCGTTTCGTGGCTCCGCCAGGACAACCGCCACTTCGACTTCGAAGCGAGCACATCACGATCTCTGGAGGAAGTTCAGGGTGGACTCCCCATTTCGACGTCGAACTGAAAAGGGTTCGAAGGGAGATTGGAAGGACGTCCTGGGCGGGATCGCAATTTCGACTTCGCACCGAAAACGTTCGACTTCGGTCGAAACGGTTGATTCAAACAAGTCTCAAACAAAATCATTGTTTCGACTCGCTCAGCCCGGTGGGCATTCAAATTCTAGATTCGGTAGCCCGAGCAGGCGAAAGTGTGGCTTCCGCTTGGGACATGTTCGAAACGAACGATTTCGACCTGACATCGAAACTCGTCGCCTCGAGGCCGAAACGGCGATTCCGCCCAAGACTTCACAGACAGAACCGTGTGCGACCCCAGCCGAAACTCCCTGCTCCGAAACCCAGGCTGTGCGAGAACGCTGTCGCTGCACCGAGCAACGAGACGCACCCCTGGCCATCGCTCGGACGTCCAATCCCTATGTTTTTTTCGGCTTCGTGCGTGGTTTTTTCGTCAAATGATCGAGGATGCTCCTCGATGGCCCTCGCCCAGGGAAGAATGCACACGTCCGAGCGATGCCGAGACCCTGGCAGCACTGTGCCGGGGCCCTGCCGCCGAACGGGCCTCTGTCGGAATGATGCCCGACGCTGCCAACATTGTACCCCGGTGCCCCGCGGGGGAGAGCCGAATTTCGGCCGAACTCTCGTGGTGGCGAAATGTCAGTTCTGCCAACACAGTGGAAGCCAGTCCACAAGAAACCTTCCGCAAGAGACCCAGCCCTGAGACCCCAGGACGTCCTTTGGTTTTGATGCCAGAGAAGACACCCAATCATGCTCTTTTTAGGGCAGTATAGGGCTATGGGGCTATAGGGCTGCAGGGCTTTAGGGCTATAAGGCTGTGGAGTTATGAGCTATCAGGCTATGGGGCTGTAGGGCTATTGGGCTACAGGGCTATACGGCTATTAGGGCTATAGGGCTACTAGGGCTATAGAGCTATAGGGCTAAAAGGCTATATAACTATAGGGCTATAGGGCTATACGGCTATTAGGGCTATAGTGCTGTAGGGCTATAGCGCTATAGGGTTATTGGACTATTGGGGCTATAGGGCTATAGGGCTGTAGGGCTATAGGGCTATTAGGGCTATAGGGCTATAGGGCTACATGGCTATAGGGCAATTTGGCTATAGGGCTATAATGCGCTATAGGGCTAAAGGGCTATAGGGCTACTGGGCACCTGGGCACCCGGGCACCTGGGTACCCGGACCACAAGCAACCCCGGGCACCTCCGGGCACCTCCGGGCAACTCCGGGCACCCCTGGGCACCTGGGCACCCCGGCACCCGGGCAACCCCGGGCACCCGGGCACCCGGGCCGGCCACCGAAATCGGCGACGCACCTCGCCTGACCAGATGAATCCGCTAGGACCCCTACAGAGGCGAGCTCTGCCTGGGGAAGAGCCATCGAAACCCAAGAAACAAACCCAAGGCACCCTGGAGTCAAGCAGGGCGCTTCCTGGCATGTGGGCCCCCACTGTACTGGCTTCGAGATTTGAGCTCCACGCCTGTGGCCCCCAGCATGAGGGGCCCCAGGCGGCGCTGCGGAGCGTGGCGCTGCCTCATGCCGAGTCGCTCCGATCCCATCTGCCCCCCCCCGAGGTCGCGGCTTCGGCCTGCTCGCGGCGGGGGCGGGACCACACCCATCGGTCGAAAGAAGTAGGTAGAAACATGAAGTAGGAAGGCGTTGGGAATAGATTGGGCTTCCGCCCGCCTCCCGAAGAGGAGGGAAGAGCGGTCTGCGCCTCGGGTTATGTTGTTCCCATCGTACTTAAGGACCAGATCCCAGAAATAATTTCGAGCACCCAGAAAAGTGTCGAAAGAGTGTCGGAAGAGTGTCGGACCTGGGCCCGACACGTGAAAGCCCTCAACTTTGGGGGTGTTTTTTCTGGTGCTCGAAATTCCTTCTGGCGATCAAGGCTAGAGCAGGTTGGAACATCATAAGCCTCGGGTTAAGTCGGGCCTGTCCCCCTACAGGGGGATCTTCGACGAAAAATAACAACAATCAAAGACTAGTCTGGGGACTATGTTCTAATGTTTTGGGGACCTTTTGGGGGTATGTTTTGGGGCATTGTTTATTCTTCGTCGAAAATCCCCCTGTAGGAGGACACGCCCGACGTAAACCTCGGGCCCCCGCGCGCTGCTGGGCGGGCCGGAGCTGGCCGCTGCGGCGCCGCAGCGCGAGAGCGACCGAAGACCGCCACCTCCGAGGGGCGACGACGGCCTCTCCCCCCCCTTACAGTCGGGGCGTTGACCTAGGGAACCCTAAATAAGGAACGAGGCCCCTTCTATCCACAAGTTGAACCTCGATTTCCCATCGAAAACCAAAAGAAACAGAGGGCAAACTGTGAAGCAGTCAAGGAACACGGAGCCCCTCCCCAACGAGAAGGGTTCCTTCTCCAGGGCCCAGGCTGTACTCTCTCCGTGCGGACCCTCCCATCAAGGCTCCGAACCTAAACTCACGTCGGGCCTGTCCCCCTACAGAGGGGGATTTTCGACGACAAAGTAAAAGATACCCCAACAATAATCAAAAAGTGGTCCAAAAATAGTCTGGGGACTATTTTTGGGGTATTTGTTTGCCTCTTTGGGGTATGTTTTGAATATCTTTTATTTTTCGTGGAAAATCCCCTTGTAGGGGGACGCGCCCGACTTAAACCTAAACGGTGTTTCTCGCTTTCGTTTGGTTCTCGTTGCCCCTCGCTCTCGTCTCGCATCCGCCATTACTTCCGCAAAACGACGTCGAAACGACAACGGCCCACGAAATCACCAGAAACACCGTTTAGGTCCAGCCCTGCCTCTCATGGGACGCACAGAGACATACTAATACTGTATGTCCTTCTCGGAGGCGCGCGTCCGACCCGAACATACAGTATACCCATCCTGTAGTGTATCGTTTCCCGAGCGGCGCGGCCAGAAAACGCCCGCCACGACGCATACACTCTAAGATTTCTCGGTGCGTGCGGCGCCCCTGGGGGGGCGACGCACATATAGTATAAGTATGTTGGGTTGACGCCGATCTCCTACCTCCCGGGCCAGAGGCCCGCTCTCCGGCGGCCGCGGGGGACGGCCCGGGAACCCCCGAAACACGCTCGCGGCGAGGCGCAGCTGCGGGAGAGCGCCACGAGGCCGGGAAGCCACCGCGACCGCACCGTGCGGACGCGGCCGCGAGGAAGCCTCGCAAGCCCTCGGCTCGTGGATGCCTTTGGCTGCGTGCTGGCATGTCGCCTGCTCGCTGCTCCTGGCCTCGCTTGTGCGACTCAGGAGTGGGAGCCCTCTGCGCCACGCCGCCCGGCTGTCTGACTGGTGGTTGGAGGCGCTCAGCTGCGGTGCGTGTTAAAAAAAATGAAGACCCGCGCGAGAGTTGCGCTTGGGGGGAGCCAAGGGCACCCTGAACGCAGCAGTTTCTTCTTCAACGGCCGCGGGAGGTCACCGCGCAGGGCCAGGAGCGAAGAAACCCGGGGTACACTGACGAGAAGCATACTGTTTCTTGATGCGCGCCCCCACTGTAAACCTCTTGCTCCCCGTCCTTACCTACAGTAGGAGCCCGACCAGAAGAAGCCTTCCACGAGAAACCCAACCCTGCGACCCCAGGGCGTCCGCTGATTTGTGGTGTGGGAACGCCACGCTCTCCGTAGGAAAACCAGCGAAGCCAAGAAACCCAGGGTACCCTGGAGGTAAGCAGGGCGTTTCTTGGCATAGGCATCCTGCCCGAAACGGGACTGGACCCTGAGATCCGATGTCGTGATTTTTTCAATGCGGGGCCCCCGGAAATCTCGACCCATTCCCCAGGACCGGTTTGTCATCCCGCGTCGTCTTTTGACGGTCCCGAGGCCCACCCAGTGCCCCTAGAGACCGAAAATCGCGAAAACCGTCCGTCTTGATTTTTTCGACCCGTTGGATCTCTGGGGACCTCTCGCCGCCGCGACGCCGCGCGGGCCGTCCTCTGGGCGCCGCGGCGACGCCGAGCGGGCGCTGGGCAGCGGCGTGGGCGGCTCTGGAGGCCTGGAGCCGTCGCCCTGGGCGGCGGCGAGGCGGGGAGCCTGCTGCCGCTGCTGCTCTTCCTGCAGCTCCTCCCTCACCCGTCCAAATCACTCCTCCCTCCTCCTCCTCCTCCTCCTCCTCCTGCTGCTCCTCCTCCTCCTCCTCCTCTTCTTCTTCTTCCTCCTCCTCCTCCTCCTCATCAGCATCAGCATCAGCATCAGCATCAGCATCAGCATCAGCATCAGCAGCAGCAGCAGCATCATCATCACCAGCAGCAGCATCAGCATCAGCATCAGCATCAGCATCAGCATCAGCATCAGCATCATCATCATCATCATCATCATCATCATCATCATCATCATCATCATCATCATCATCACCATCATCCTCGTCATCATCATCCTCATCCTCCGCATCCTCATCCTCATCCTAATCCTCCTCGTCACCGTCATCCTCCTCCTCCTCCTCATTATCCTCATCATCCTCATCATCCTCCTCCTCGTCATCATCATCATCACCATCACCATCATCATGATCCTCGTCATCATCCACCATCATAATCATCCTCGTCATCATCATCATCAGCATCAGCAGCATCATCATCATCGTCATCATCATCAACATAATCCTCGTCATCATCATCATCGTCATCATCATCATCATCAACATCATCATCATCATCACCATCATCATCATCATCATCATCATCATCATCATCATCATCATCATCAGCATCATCATCTTCATCATTATCATCATCATCCCTCCTTCTCCTCCACCTCCGCCTCCGCCTCCTCCTCTTCATTCCAAATAACTCCTCCCTGACGCACCCGCAACCGTGCCGGTAGGGCGAGCTGGGCGTTTCGCCTGAAACCTCCTCACAATTGATAATCCTGAGGCTTGAAAGTTGCAACGTTTTCAAAGACGGAAGGCGGGTGGTCTTCAAAATACGGCTCGCTCCTTAGCGCCGCGCACATTCCTCTTCAAAGTTTGCCACACATTCAAAGATGTGGGGCAGCCCGTTTTCAAAGTGCGGCTCTCGCCTTAGCGCCGCGCATATTCGTCTTGAAAGTTAGCAAACAATCCAAGGATTGAGGGTGGCTTCTTTTCAAAATAGGGCTCTCATCTTAGCGCCGCGCACATTCGTCTTAGAAGTTTGCAACTGTCTCAAAGGTTCGTATCGTTGAAATCCCCGGAATGGCGTTCTGGTGCGATTTAGCATTGTCAGGACGCAACGGTCACGCTGATTCGCGGCATGGAAGTCCCAGGAATGCTTTTCTCTTACGATTTCGAATTGTCAGGACGCAACAGCCGCGTTGATTCGCGGCGTTGAGGTCCCAAAGACGGTGCTTCGGTGCGATTGAAAGTTCTCAACCGTTTGTCCTTCCTTGGGGTACTTCCGACAATGAAAATCAATTCGCGTAGGGACATATGAAGACAGAACTTGGAGGGAGAGTGTGTTGCAACATCGTTTATGCGCCTTGGGTTTACACTGGTCCTCATGCTCAGCCTCATCCTCAATATCTTCATCCTCATCCTCATCCTCATTCTCATCATCCTCGTCATCATCATCATCATCATCATCATCATCATCATTATCCTCACCATCTTCCTCATCCTAATCATCATCCTCATCCTCCTCCTCATCATAATCTTTAGCACCATCATCATCCTCATCCTTATTATCACAATCATTATCATTATCATCGTCATCGTCATCATCATCATCATCACCATCACCATCACCATCACCATCATCATCCGTAGCATCAGCATAATCTTCATCCTCATCCTCACCCTCATCATCATCCGCCTCATCACCATCATCATCCTCATCGTAATCGTCGTCCTCCTCCTCCCCCTCCTCTTCCTCCTCTTCTTCGTCTTCATCATCACCACAAGCACCATCATCAGCATGATCATGCACAGCACCAGCATAACCACCATCAGCATACTAGTCATCATCGTCATCCTCATCATCAGCATCATCATGATCAGCAGCAGCGTCCCCATCATCGTCGTCACATCGTCGTCATCCCCCTCATCATCAACATCATCAACATCATGAACACCATCATCATCATCAGCACCACCACATCATCATCCATCACCATCACCATCACCACCATAATCATCATCGCCGTCATCAACATCATCATCATTATACTCAACAGCAGCAACATCATCCCTCCTCCTGCTATTCCTCCTCCCTCCTCCGCTTCCCTCCTCCTCCTTCTCGTGATCATCATTACCATCATCATCACCATCACCGACATTATCATCACCACCACCCTCACCATCACCACCACCACCATCACCATCATCATCATTATCATCATCATCATCATCATCGTAGTCGTCGTCGTCATCATCGTCATTGTCACCATCACCATCACCATCACCATCACCATCATCATCATAATCATCATCATCATCATCATCATCATCATCATCATCATCACCACACTCACAGCCACAACCATCATCATCATCATCATCAGCATCATCATCACCATCATCATCGTCATCGCCATCGTCATCGTCATCGTCATTGTCATCGCCATTGTCATCACCAGCGTCATTGTCATTGTCATCATCATCAGCAGCAGCATCATTATCGGCATCATCATCATCAGCAGCATCACCATTATCATCCCCATCATCCTATTCCTCATCCTCATCATCAGCAGCATCAGTATCAGCATCATCATCATGACCATCACTATCAGCATCCGCATGAGCACCTTCGTCTTCATCACAATCACCATCCCTCCTCCTCCTCCTCCTCCTCCTCCTCCTCCTCGTCCTTCTCCTCCTCCTCCCACGCGAGGGGTCGGCCCGGAGGGGCGGGCGGGGGCGCTCCCGAGAGCGCGGTGTGCTCGTGGGCCTGCTGCGCACAGAGTCATCCTCGAATCTCTCCAGCCTCTCCTCGGTTTGCGGGGGGTGGGGGGCCATTTCCCCCCCCGATGCGGGCAATCTATATACATCACTCTCTCATTCTCTCTCTACATATACATGTATATACATATATGTACTCACACACACACACATATATATATATATATATTCTCATACGCACCTCTCCGAGGGAGTAGAGCTCAGAAGCGATTAATGCGCACGAGTCCGCAATTTTTCTGGGCGTTTCGCTCGGGACATCCTCGAAATTCTGAAAATCGGTGGCACCCCTCACGCAGATCGCGACGTCAGGGTCCAAAAACACATGGGAAATTCAACATGTTAACATAAAACCTTCAAAAACACATGGTAATTTCAATAATTGTGACCCCGATTCTCAGTGAATGGCGGTTTCGCTTGAAAAATCCTTCCAACATCGAGCCCCAGACCCCGCCTCGGAGCCTCCTGGGGGCCTCCTGGAACCTCCTGGGGCCTCCTGGGCCTTCTGAACCTTCTGGCACCCCAGACCCCGCCTCGGAGCCTCCTGGGGGTGTCCTGAAACCTCCTGGGGCCTCCTGGGGCCTCCTGCGGCCTCCTGGAGCCTCTTGGGGCCTCCTGAAGCCTCCTGGGGTCTCCTGGGGCCTCCTGAGGCCGCCTGGGGCCTCCTGGGGCCTCCTGGGGCTTCAGAACTACATGCACACAGAGACACAAATCACGCCCAACACATCACACGCTAGACAAACATAACACACACACACACACCTACAACACACAAAAAGCACGCACCACACGAAGCATACATCACAAACACACACACACACACACACACACACACACACACACACACACACACACACACACACACGCACAACACTCACAATCCTGGGGCCTCCTGGAGCCTCTTCTGGTATCCAAGTCGGGCCTCCTAAGGCTTCCTGGGGGCCCTGGTACACACATCGCAAGGTGTGGCAACCCCACTTGCGCTCGAGTGCGACTTCGATGTTGCATTTCACTCCTGCTTCAAACGCCCCTTCAGTTTTTTGTATGAGCCTGGGCACACACGTGCCACTTGTATATGCACACACGTATGTATATGCTCCCCTCCCCAGCACCCCCAAACGACGGATTTGAAGGGGGGGCATCCTCCTCATCGATCGGATTGCAATCGACTGGATTGCAATCGGTTGGATTGAAATCGCTTGGATTGCAACCGATTTGATTGCTATCGATTGCAATCCTCCTCGTCATCCTCCTCATCCTCATCATCATCCGTCTCCTCCTCATCCTGATCCTCTTCCTCCTCCTGCTGCTCCCTCTCATGATCCTCTTCCTCCTGCTCTCTTTCATGATCTTCATCCTGCGCCCCTTCCCATGGGAAGGCGATTGAAGTCCGCATTCAAAGGATTTCAGCGTGGAGGAAAGGAGGGAGGAGGAGGAGGAGGAGGCGGAGGAGGAGGAGGAGGCGGAGGCGGAGGAGAGAGCAGGGAGGAGGACGAGAGATGAGAGTCAAGGAGCGAGGAGGCAGAGGAGGTGAAGGGAAGTCTGGAGCATAGAGGAGGGAGGATGCAGGAGGCTGAAGGGAAGGAGGAGGAGGAGGAGGAGGAGGAGGAGGAGGAGGAGGAGGAGGGGAAGAAGGAGGAGGAGGTGGAGGAGGAGGAGGAGGAGGAGGAGAAGGGGAAGAAGGAGGAGGAGGAGGAGGAGGAGGAGGAGAAGGGGAAGAAGGAGGAGGAGGAGGAGGAGGAGGGCTCGACGCCGTTCTCGAGGCGCGCCTTCCTCCATCAATCGGCGGCGAGTCCAAGGGGGGGAAGGAGAGGGTGGGTCGGCCCTCTCGGAAAGCGGCGGGGCTGCTCGGAAGCCCTCGCGCCTGCTGACAGCCTGCTGAGCAGCCTCGTCGGCCTTCCTCCGAAGTCGCAGGCGGCTTCCGAGGAGCCCCACCGCCCTCGGAGCAGGCCCCAGGTGCCCCCCGCTCACTTCCCCCTCCGGCTCGCCGCCGGGTCGAGCCACCGGAGTCTGCTCATCCCCCGCGCTCTCCAGCTTGATGTCCGCCGCCGCCACGGCGTTCTGCATCTCCTGCAGGAGCGTCTCGAGCGAGGGGCACTCCTACCCCCCGCGCGCGCGCCCGCCGCGCGCCCGCGCCGCGAGGACGGGAGGCCACCACGAGGGTCGTCGGAGGCGGCATGAAGTTGGGCGCCCGAGTTATCCGGGGTAACTCGGGTCCGGGGTAACGCGGGTTTGGATTCCCGAAAAACGAACCCGAGTTAGCCCTGACCCGAGTTACCCCTGATGATTCGGGGCTCTGGACGCCCGAGTTATCCGGGGTAACTCGGGTCCGGGGTAACGCGGGTTTGGATTCCCGAAAAACGAACCCGAGTTAGCCCTGACCCGAGTTACCCCTGATGATTCGGGGATCTGATGAAGACTTCGGACGCGCCGAGAACGACGACGACGACGACGGCGACCTGTTCCAAAGCCGGTATTTCATCCCGAGCCGTTCTTGGACGGTCCCTGGCCCCGGGCGGAGAGCTCCCCGGAGGCCGAGGCGCCGATGACAATCGGCGGTGGACAAACCTCCCTTTTGGTGGACCTCCCCTTAGTGAAAACGGCCTGGGACCGAAACCGACGGACCTGGACCCGCGAAAATGGCGGCCGCGACGCCCTCTCGCGAACCGAAAACGGCCAATTCCTTAATCGACGTGTCACTTTTTGGGGTTCTGTCCGCCCCCGAGACAAGGATGCGCGGTAAGGATGCAGGGGCCGCGGGAGGCCACGTCGACACGTTGCCGGCGCGGCGCGGCCCGCGAGAGCGGCCAAAGGAAATCGGCCGAAGGGGGAGGGTGCGAGGGTGGGGCCTCTTGGAGAGTCGCTCGTCCTTACTATGCTTGTCGGCTGCAGTCAAGACCAGCGGTGAGGATGGAGTCCAAGGATGCAGGACCCTTGGAACGCGCTACATTGAAGAACGCGCCGATCCTCAAATAACCGATGGTTGCAAGCGACCCCCAAAGCCGAAGGATGCAGAATGCCCTTGCGAGGCAGGTCCATCCTTACGCTGGTTTTCAGTGCATGTGCGAAGAAGGAGGGCACGCACTGCTCGAAGGACGCGCAGGACGTGCAACACGTGGTGGGACTGGAACCCGCCGCCGTGCCGCAGAAGCCGAATGGAGCAGTGTCCTCCAACACCCGATGTGGCAGGCTCGTGTCATGACGACCCTGGCGTTGGTTTCTGAACGTTTCTGACACCGCGTGGATCGCTCAACCTTGAATTAGGTCGGGCCTGTCCCCCTACAGGGGGATTTTGGACGAAAAAGAAAAATACTCAAAAATACTCAAAAGATGCCCAAAAATACTCCCAAAATAGTCCCCTGACCATTTTTGGACTGTTCTTGAATATTCCCCCTGTAGAGGGACAGGCCCGACTTCAAGCTCGAACGATCGGCGACCTGTCGATCGCCCGACTGTGCCATACATTGGCGTCCAAGGTGTACCTTTTCCTGCACGTCCACTTCGGCACCGCCTGGTCCCCGGGCTTCGCCCGCTCCTGGCCGCGTGAGGCCCCGCCTTCTTCCGCCCTTTCTCTGCTGATTAAAGCTGCGCGCGTCCCGCTTAGCTTTCAGCGGAAGAGGTTCGCTCTCGCCCTGCAGATCAAAAAAAAAGTGCCATACATTGGCCGAGGCTGGGCCAGCGGCGGCCTCCGCCCTCGAGCGACCGCGGCGGGCCCGCCGCCGCGTCGGAGGCGACGCGCACCGACCGCACGCGTCACGGGTGCTGCACGCGGGGCTTGCCCGACCAGCCACCGCTGGGGGAGCTGTGGTCCCTAACTCCCCTGCTGGGCATCGCTCGGACGTCCATTCCCTGCGCTTTTTTCGGTTTCGTGCATGGTCTTTTCGCCAAATGATCAAGGATGCTCCTCGATGGTCCTCGCCGAAGGAAAAATGCACACGTCCGAGCGATGCCAAGTGCACGCTGGGCTTACCCGACCAGCCACAGCTGGGGGAGCCGTGGTGCTTACCCCCCATGGGGGAATCCGTCGCGTCGACGATCTCTCGAGGGGGGTGTCGAAATCGATGGGTCCCCCAAGGGGGGGTAAGGACCACAGCTCCCCCAGCCGTGGCTGGCCTGCTTGCACTGGTCATCTGGTCCTCCTCCCCCTCCGCTCCCCCCGCGCGCTCGGGTAAATGGAGGGGCACGGTGCGTGTCGATAGGGCTACGAATCCTGCCCACCCGAATCTGGTGCAGCTCTGTAGACGTGCCCTCGGTCTTGGAATGCTGTAGACACAAGCCCTGGTCGGACCCCGCCCCGCCCGGAACGCCAGGCTACTCCGCGCCCCATCCGTCCAAAGCCAGCGCCCACAGAAAGTGGCACTTGCGCCCGACGGAGTGCTCGCGCGGCATCCCTGCTCACAACGGGCACGGAGAGAGCTGCTTCTCGCTGTGACCTCCTCCCAGGTTCCTCCCCTTCATCTCCCAGCCCCTGTTCCTCGTCCTCCTCCTCCTCCTCCTTCTCCTCCTCCTCTTCCAACTCCTCCTCCTCCTCCTCCTCCTCCTCCTCTCCTCTCCTCTCCTCTCCT